TCTTTTTAGCATCGTAATACTTCTATTCATAGATTCCCACAAGTGGAAACGCCCTCTTCTCCTTCGCAGTGGTTGCGGGTTGGCGCGCAACACCTACACTTCCCGTTTAATTCGCTGTACTCAACACCGTGTGCGTCCTCTATGTATCCTTAATGGCCTCAACGACAAGAGAAGACAAACCCCACGCAGGGTAGACGTACCCCGCAACAATGTCAGCTGGATAAACCTGTTTTGTTTGGCAACGCGCCAAAGTACCCTCAGCAAGCACAGCCATTACCCCACCAGCACGGACGAGAGAGGGTGAAACAAAGGAATCCTTCACTTTACTTTCAGGCCCATCTTTTGGTTTCACCGGCGTCTCCTGCAGCACAAAACTTTCGGCGCATTGCAGCAGCTGCGCACCCCCTGACATACTCCCCACAGCGTGTGCAGCCCCACTGCCGCAGCAAACCAACACAACAAGAAGCGCCAGCACGGCATAATAGAAAAGATGCCGGGACATGTCGGGCCTCTGCTGCCCACACTCTCCCTTCTTCCGCCGGATCCGGTCACGCGGCGGCGGTTGTGTGTGCGGGGTGCCTTCAAAGCAGAAACACGTGAGAACATACAATTATGTGTGTGTGCGGTGTGTGTGCTGTCGTCGGTTCTTTCGGAGCCTTCGGCCCCGGACGCCCGGCAAAACCGAGGCGCCGCCGCGAAACGAACGCGCGTGCCCGCGACGAGCGGGGGAGGAAACGGGGACCCCGGCCTGACCCCGAGGCGGCCCGTGTTTTCGCGCTTTAGGATCGGTTCCCTGAGTGAGGGGCCAGCGCTGAAGGAATGTTAAAAAGGGGGGATGTTCCGTGTCGGGTTGCGGCTTCGGGTGACGGCTTTTAGGGCGGTAGGATGGCGGATCGCTGGCGTCTTTTGGTGGGGTCTTGGGGCTTGTACCCGTATTGGAGCTCCGCAGTTTTTGTTGTTTGCTTTGGCCCGTTTTGTTTTCTTTTCTCTGGAAAAACACGTTGAATTATTTCCGCTTATTGTATTGAAAATTTTCGCAGTTCATATATATATATATTTATTTATTTATTTATTTATTTATTTATTTATTTATTTATTTATTGTTTTTGTTGTTGTTTTTTATCGCTATTATTACTATTATTTTTTTAAGAAGCAAGGATTTTAAATTAAAAACAAAATGGCCTCTTTTACATCTTGTGCACGTATTCTGTACAACACAACCAATGTTGACCGTACCATGCACACGATCGTTCATTGCAGCGATGGAAAATACGTGGAAGTGCCAAAGGCAGTTGCGGATAAATGCACCTTTATTGAGAAAGTCAAAGACGAAATGATTCCTGAATTTGAGTACCCCGCAGCCGTTCTTGAAAATCTTGTCTGCTGGACAGAACACTATGGCATTGACGGTTTTGCCGAAAGTGAAATTGTAAGACCATGTATTTACAGAAATATTCTCCACGTCCTGAAAAACAAGTGGGACAATGGCTTTTTTGTTTCTCGCCTTACCAGTGAACTAAACATTGGACACTATCTACAGACCGTAAACGCAGCAGAAAAGTTTAATATGAAGGGTTTGCATTGCTTTCTTTGTGTTGGACTTAGCTGTAAGTTCCGCAGTGAGGATGATGCAGAACTCATTCACAAGATAATGGGGCTTCCATCTAATGTGCAACCGGACCAAGAGGATATTGAAAACGTGACCACACGGTATCCTTGGCTGAATGAAGCCATTGAACCGGTTGTGAGGAAGTAAACTAATTTAGAGAAATGTTGAAAGCGCACCGCCTTATCATTTATTTATTTATTTATTTATTTATTTATTTATTTATTTATTTATTTATGCAGCTGCCCCCATAAATGGGATTCACAGTGGATCACCTTCTTGAATTTTTTTATGGCGGTTCACATTTAATGCTTCTTTGATTGAAATACATACACGTTTACACAGAAAACGTTTAGTGATAAGGAGAAAAACCTAATAAGGGAAAGGAACAATATGGGCAAACCCGGGAAAAAGGCTGGAAAGGGATTGCTCCCGCCTACCAATGTCAATCGTCGTGTCGATGTCAACAAAACCAGTTTGCGAGACCAGAGGACAATTAAGCGATTAAAAATGTATAAGTCCAAGCTTTTACGTGATGAAAAAGGTAATATTGTGAAGGGGAGTGTCTTGCAGGCATCCGATCGTGTTGAACAGCAAATGGTTCGTGTTGCACCTGATCGTCGGTGGTTTGGTAACACTAGAGTTATTGGTCAGGAAGCCTTGCAGAATTTTTTGAAGGAAATGGGTGCAAAATACAGAGATCCTTACAGTATTGTTATTAAGCAATCTAAGCTCCCACTGAGTCTTCTTGAGTCAAGCGGGATGAATGAGGGCAGTGTTCGTCAGCAGATGGAGTGGGAAAAAACCTTTGGGGAGAAGGCCAATCGAAAGCGCGTTCGTCTGGATACCGTTGATATGGAGGGGTTTGTAAATAGGGCCGTATCGAAAGGCGAGGAGTATTTGACTGATAAGAAAGGAGTCGATCGAAATCTTATTAATAAAGAAGAGAATTTACGTGATGATCGTTCCAAAAATAGGATTTTATTTAAAAAAGGTCAATCCAACCGTATTTGGAATGAGCTTTACAAGGTAATTGATAGTTCTGATGTGGTCCTATATGTATTGGACGCAAGAGATCCATTGGGAACTAGAAGTTCTTTCCTTGAAGAATATATGCGTAAAGAAAAAAAATACAAACACTTTATTTTTGTATTGAACAAGTGTGACCTTGTTCCTTTGTGGGCTACTGCTCGCTGGCTTCAAGTTTTGAGCAAAGACTATCCAACCGTGGCTTTTCATGCAAGTATCAATCATCCGTTTGGTAAAGGTAGTCTGATTTCGCTTCTTCGACAATTTGCAAAATTGCAAAATGTTACTCATCGAGGTAGTAAACGAACAAAAACTCCTATTTCTGTTGGTGTGATTGGCTATCCAAACGTTGGTAAGAGTTCTCTGATTAATACTCTTCGGCGAAAATCCGTTTGTAAGGTTGCACCTATACCAGGAGAAACGAAAGTTTGGCAGTATGTTGCTCTCACAAAGACTATTTTTCTTATTGATTGTCCCGGTGTCATTTATGATCGCGAAACAAACAATGATGTTCAGGCCGTTTTAAAGGGAGTTGTACGTGTAGAACGCTTGGGAAATGCAGACAAGACAGATGTTGTAAATACGGTTCTTGAGATTGTGAAGCCTAAAGACATAGTTGCCACATATGGTGTTTCTGACTGGAGGGATGTGAATGACTTCCTTGAAAAACTGGCAAAGCTTAGGGGTAAACTTGTTAGTGGCGGTCAACCCGATACAGAAGCCGCATCGCGTATGGTTCTCTACGACTGGCAAAGAGGACGAATCCCGTGGTTCAGCGCTCCACCTTTTGATTCTAATAAGCAATATCGTGATGCCTTGGAGCTACCAGAGGCAAAACAAATGAAACTAATTGAACATTATGGCACGTTTAACATAGTTGAAGGTGCTATGGATCACAATGAAAAATCTGATGAGGAAACATTGCAGAATACTTGTGACTATTCTGGGGCTGATTCTTTCAATGAAAAGCAAATTCAGAAGAGTAAAAAAGAAACGAATATTCACGCGACAGTTGCTAGTTATATGTCCGAGCAGATCATTTTGAAAAAGAAGGAACAACGAAAAAGGGCCAAGTCCGAACCTGCCATTAAAAACTCTGGAGCCAAGGAGACGAATAACAACTATAATGATGATGATTTATGGAATCGTTTCCTTGCTGCGGCCAAAAAATGAACAAGAAAAGTGTAGGTTTCTGAAGCAGAGAGTAAACTAATATGAGTCAACATTGGTAATAAATAATAATAATAATAATAATAATATATCGTATTGTGTGTAGTAAGTGATTTAACAGTGCTCCCTAATAATGTTGTCATTATTGTTGTTTTCTAATTTGACTTTTTTTTTTTTTTTTTTTCGTTGGAAAACCTTTGTAGTTTCTTTTGAATACAAAAAGAGACCTTGGCGTTGTTGTTCTATGAACGGCTATCCTCTCTGCAGAAGGGAGAACTTGTCATAACGCCCATTTGTGTCCCAAAGGGAAATTAGGCCTGATTTCTATTCCAGTGTTCACGGTATGATTTATATCTCAGCTCCTTTAATGATTTAACTTCTGTATTGCCTTTTATCTTCCTTTACCATTGGCCCTTTCTGTGGACAAGGAGGAGACAGTATGTCATGATTTTGCTTATATTGAATCAGTTGCTGTTGGGCGTCTATTGGTCTGCTTTGTTATTGTCCAACCTGTTGGATCTATTTCTAGTGGATTTAATTAATTCTATTTCGGATGTGAGGCTGGTTTTTTTTTACTCTGGGCTGCAATTGCTGGAATCGGACTTTGTTTTTCTTGTTCTTTTGACCGCTGATTTTAATTTATGCATTCCTGTTGTACTATTGGTTTGGCCATTTCTGGTAATGTTATCAAAATATTAGGAGCTTTTGAAGAGAATGATTGCGGGAGAGCTGGCCAACTTAATTAATGTATGTACATCTTGATATAATGAAGACATTCTTTGTGATACTCTCTACCGTATGAATCTTTTGGGAAGAACGCGACTTTGTAGGGGCAGGGAACCGATAGAGGCCAGATAATATTTGTTTTTATTTTGCCATCCCACCCACCCCCTGTTGATCCCCAGCACGCGGCGGGGTCTTGTGGTTGGAGGACCCCAAAGTCTGGCACTTCGTAAGTAATAATATTTAAATCCTAATTGAGGACAAAGCACCATGCTAGTGGTCCACAGAATTATATATATATATATATATATATATATTATTGCAGGGAAACATTGAGGCAATTAACTGCCTCTTAGATACTCCCCTTTTTCTCTATCTTGTTTGGTTTTTATATATAATTTCAGGATCCAGCCAGCGGCCCAGAAGATTATTCCCTTTTCTCTTGGCCAAATTTTATCATGGGACAGAATTTGAAGTCTCTATTTCTCTGGTTTTACTAACTGGATGCATAATTGGATTTGCGACGCCTCCTGGTCGCTTAGCGATAAAAAGCTTAGCCAATAGCAACTATACATAGAGTTTTATCTTTGCTTTTGGGTGTGCCATCAGCGTAAAATATTTAAGTTAATTCTTTCATTGGAGACGCACTTAAGAGTTAATGGAAATAAAGTAACTGTTGGTTTTCAATATTATCGTTAGTTGTACATGAAAGTTGCTGGGAAATGTTTACGACATTTTGGTCAGCGATCAGAAAGGAGAATTTCAAGAAAAAAAGGGGGGAAGGGGTAACTAAATGGTGCTTAATGAAGCAATGAACAATGTAGCCTCCGTTTTATTAAATTTTACTACTATTTTTTCTTAATAATGTTGCTGCATTATATATATATATAATGTTATTATTATTATTATTATTTGTATTTGTATTTGTTTCTGTATTTTGAGAAACTTCTAATTAGATGTAAAATCTGACAACCATACTGGAGAGTAGAACGAGGAGGAACGTTAAATTCTTTTTGCCATTCACCATTTCCAAGAGAGAGAAAAGTCTTTCTTTTTTGTACTCATTTGCTTGGCCCTTTTCAAGGCGTGGATCAACCCGTAGAATAGATTGTAGGAAGAGAAATATATCGGAATGGGGTTAAGAACGGCCCTTACGAAGCCCTTTGTCGCGCTTGTAGCTTCTATGGACCGACGCATCGATCTCATGGATGAGCCTTTGAAACGTCATATCCAACACCATAACAATTCAGGGGAGGACCTATGCGCCAGTGTTTGGCATGAATATTGGTCGTACCAAAAAGCGCTCTTACCGTATCGCAAAACAAGGCTTTTAAACGAGCTGAGCTATATGGCAAGGGGGAAAATATCGCTGGCTAGCATGGGCGTAAAAGACATTATTCTCTTCTCCCGTGTCTTGACAAAATGTTTGTTTCTTTTTATCATCTTTGTAATTATAGGTCGACGCTCTGTTTTTCCGTCTTTGGAGCCCAATTCTGTCTTTGTCCAAGAAATCAACACAAACTGGCAACCAAACCACAAACGCGGTCTGTTGATTAAGGAACTTTAAGAGGAGGCGAAAGCAAGGATAGAAAGAACCAGGGAGAAGTAAAAGGCAAAAAAAGGGGTGATTCCTTTAAAAGAGAACAATGAAGAGACGCGAGGATACGGCCTTGTCACGGTAAAACCTTTTCCAATACTAGCATATACGTACTAAAATTAAAAGTTTTGAGCATTTTCTTCTTACACGTGATACGTTAGCCACTACATTTTCCAGAAAATGACGCCACGAATCTACAAAAGGCTTCTCTGAGACGAGCATTTCATTATTCTTTACCCCCCCTTTTTTTTTTTTTTTTTTTTCTGTCAATCAGATCCACAAGACTTCTAACAAAGAAATAGATATGCGCCGTTTCTTTTCCAAGTTTGCTGCGGGCCTGCCGGCACGCTTCGCCTCCACAGCACCGCCGGCGGGCGGCGCGAAGGCCGCTGCCTCGGCTGCCGCGGGACAGAAGTCGTTCTTTAAGGCGACGGAGATGATTGGCTATGTGCACTCCATCGATGGCACCATTGCCACGCTCATACCTGCACCTGGCAACCCTGGCGTGGCCTACAACACCATCATCCAGATCCAGGTGAACCCGACAACGTTTGCCGCCGGCTTGGTGTTCAACCTGGAGAAGGACGGCCGCATCGGCATTATTCTTATGGATAACATCACGGAGGTCCAGTCTGGCCAGAAGGTGATGGCGACGGGCCAGCTGCTCCACATTCCCGTGGGCGCGGGCGTGCTTGGCAAGGTGGTGAACCCACTTGGTCACGAGGTCCCCGTCGGCCTGTTCACACGCAGCCGCAGTCTGCTGGAACAAACAGTCGGCAAGGTGGACACCGGCGCCCCGAACATCGTGTCACGCTCTCCAGTGAACTACAACCTGCTCACCGGTTTCAAAGCTGTAGACACAATGATTCCCATTGGCCGTGGCCAGCGCGAGCTGATTGTGGGCGATCGTCAGACGGGAAAGACATCCATTGCCGTGTCGACGATCATCAACCAGGTGCGCATCAACCAGCAGATCCTGTCGAAGAATGCGGTCATTTCCATCTACGTTTCCATTGGCCAGCGTTGCTCCAACGTGGCGCGCATCCACCGCCTCCTCCAAGGCGTACGGTGCGCTGAAGTACACGACTGTCATGGCCGCCACCGCTGCCGAGCCCGCTGGCCTCCAGTACCTCGCACCATACGCCGGCGTGACAATGGGTGAGTACTTCATGAACCGTGGACGTCACTGCCTGTGTGTGTACGACGATCTTTCGAAGCAGGCCGTTGCATATCGTCAGATTTCGCTGCTCCTGCGCCGCCCGCCTGGGCGTGAGGCGTACCCTGGCGACGTCTTTTACCTGCACTCGCGTCTATTGGAACGTGCTGCCATGCTTTCGCCCGGAAAGGGCGGTGGCTCCGTGACTGCTCTCCCCATCGTGGAGACGCTCTCCAATGACGTGACGGCGTACATCGTGACGAACGTGATCTCCATCACTGACGGCCAGATCTATCTCGATACGAAGCTCTTCACCGGTGGCCAGCGGCCCGCAGTGAACATTGGTCTCTCCGTGTCGCGCGTGGGTTCGTCCGCTCAGAACGTGGCGATGAAGGGTGTTGCTGGCAAACTGAAGGGTATTCTTGCCGAGTACCGCAAGCTGGCCGCCGACTCCGTGGGCGGGCAGCAGGTGCAGACGATCCCCATGATCCGTGGTGCACGCTTCGTTGCGCTGTTCAATCAGAAGCAACCGTCGTATTTCATGAGCGCCATCGTCTCGCTGTATGCGTGCCTGAATGGTTACCTGGACGATGTGAAGGTGCAATACGTGAAGTTCTACGAATATCTGCTGGTGCACAAGGACCTGAGCATCATGTATGGATCGGCGAAGAACAAGTTTTTCTACATGTACATGCAAGAACTGAACTATCTGATTCGTTTCTTTACCCTAAACAGCCCTGTCCTACACGACGAGCTTGAGGAGATGCTGAAGCAGCACACACAGCTGTTCCTGCAACACTACCAGTCAAAGATGAATGCAATAAAGAGCGAAAAAGAGGTGAAGGCGCTGAAGAACCTTTTGTATTCCTGCAAGCGCGCTGTATAGTGGTGCTTTTTTTTTTTTTTTTTTTAGGTGCTTGTGAAGAGATTGTTCTTGGTGGGAGGTGGCTAACTTCACGAATGTATATTTACCCTGATAAAATAAATGTAACTTTTTAAGACGCTTTTCTACCGTATGAATCTTTTGGGAAGGCCACGACTTTAGGGTACCGAAAGCGGCGAGATAATTTTTTATTTTTATTTTACCTTCCCACCCACCCTCTTTTGATTCCCACCACGCGGCGGGGTCTTGTGGCTGGAGGACCCGAAAGTCTGCCACTTCTTAAAGAATAAATAAATAAATAAATATATATATATATATCCCATCCGAATAGAGTGAGCGGGCCACGATTGTGTCTAAAGGATTTATGTATGCACTTACTTGGTGTTAAACTTTGAGGATATGGTGAATCCATTCTTATTCCATTCATCCCTTTCTTATTCTTATCTGGTTTGGTTCCTATTATTGACAAACTGCAGGATTCGGCCGGCGGCCCCGATGACTATTTTTAATATATCGGCTTGATTTTGTTTTGGATTGGATTTTCTGTGGTTTGATTCTGCTGTGGATTATATATATATATATATATATATAATAGGATGTTTTTTTTTTGTTTGTGTGTGTGTGTTTGTTCTTTGTCATTGCATATTTTAAATAAAGATTGAAAGTAGAATGTCGAAGATTACGTCGAAGGGGTGGTGCTATGCCCGTTGTGGCCCGATTTCCCGTGTCCTGAAGCATGTGACGTTCGACGTTGTACCAAAAAAGGAAGAAGTTATAGTTGATGTACTGCAAGCGCCGTTGCATCGTACAGATGCAGCTGTGGTAAATGGCACGGCTTTGGGGCGGAGACGGTTTTCGTCTGCTGGGTTTCCAAGAGTGGGAGGCTGCGAGGGGGTGGGGAAGGTGGTTGAGGCCGGTGCTTCCCAGAATGTGAAGGAGGGGGATATGGTGTGGGTGGCGCCGCTTCATGGTACGTGGGCAACGCGTGTTGCAGTTGATCACAAAATGGTGCATAAAATTGATCCCAAACACGTTTCCCTTGCCGTTAACGCCTCCAATTATATTGTCGCCCAGCATCTCCTGAACGGGTTTGCAAGCCTTCGGAAAGGGCAAGTCATTGTGCAGAACGGTGGCAGCAGTCTAACTTCGTTGGCGGTCGCAGCACTGGCGAAGCCGCTTGGTGTAAAGGTTTTCACGGCCTGCACCCCTGGAGAGCGCTTTAAAGGGGCGAAGGAGCGTCACGCCAATTACAGCAGCGAGGTCTTTGAGTACAACGGGAAGGGAGCCAGAGCCATGCGGCAGGCAATAGGAAACGTTGGTGCGACATTGTATCTCAATGGTGTTGGCGGCCGTCACTTTGATACCTTTTTGGGACTTGTTGGTTTTGGTGGGCATGTAGTTTCGTACGGTGCACAAAATGGTGTGGGATTGATGATTTCTGGTTCAAATCTTATTTACAACGAGGTAACAATGCAGGGATTATTTCTCCCTTCATACCTTGCAGGTATTTCCTACAGCGAACGTCAAACAAAACTTGATTTTGTGCTTCAGCAGCTTTCTTCAATGGGTTTCAGCTATCCGACTTCCGTGGCCGCCTCGTTGGAACAGCTGCCAAATGTGTGGGATGACGCGTTTGTACATGGAGGGAAAAAGGGTGTGGTTATCGTAGGAAAATAAATTGAGAGAAGTGTTTGTTGAGCGATGTGGAAGTGTTATATATATATATATGTATATAATTTATTTGCGTGTGTGTGTGAGTGTGTGTGTTGCTGTCATTTTAGATTTTTGTTTTTTTAGCTAGCAACGCTCTTTTAATGCAACTCTATTATTATTATTATTATTATTATTTTAGTGTGAGGGGATTGGGTGGGTGGTATTGGAGGGGAGGGAACAAATGGTGATAACGGATTCTTTTTGACTTTTAGGCGGGCAGGGTATCACAATTTTGCTGGCATGTCATTAAGTATTTGTATAACAGTGGCTTTTTTTTACCACTGTCGGTAGTTTGTTTGTTTGTTTGTTTTTTGCGTAGGCTTTAGGTGGTCATGGGTAGCAGTCGCATGTATATGGCACGTGGGTAGTAAAACAAAAGTCAATGATAGGGGGTTTGTGCGTGCATCTTTTATTTATTTATTTTTTTTTTTTTTTGTATTTTTGAGTGGGTGCATCTTCTCTTTGAAGAAAAACGTAATGTGTTTATTTGTTTCTTTGATGTCTCGGTTTGTTCTCTCTTGCCATAAGACATCATTGAAGTCATACTGCAATCTCACTTCTACCACGCAATTGCGCACTCTTCCTGCGGCCGATTATTATTATTATTTTTTTTTTTTTCTTTTTCTTCCTTTTTTTTTTTTTTTTTTTGTATGTGTGCGTATATGTATTTGATTTTGTATTGGATGCATTTAGGTGGTCATTAGAAGTGAAGGGGTAGGGAGAAAGGTTCTCAATTGACATCATGCCACTCTCGGATGGCACCAAAGTGGCCATGCACGTTGACGCCCTTGCCGTACTGGACGATATACGGCGAACAGGGCAACTCATAGAAGAGTTCCGCTGGCTGAAGAAGCACGGTGGAAGCCGTGTGGCGCTGGTGCGACTGCGATCAGAAATCAAGAAACTTAAAGCGTCTCAAGCCAGTTTACTCGAGTCTCGAGGAAAAGGGAAAGATCCGCACGGTGCACAGTACGAAACCTTCCATGCATCGCCATCATATCGGGGTGATGGATTGATTATTACCCCGCGATCACGCCCTGACAGACTCCAGCAGGAAGGGTTAGAGGCCCCTATGCATGTTGGATGCACGCCCGATGTAGACAGAAGGGGTGTAACGGAAAAACATGGAATAATTGCATTAGACCATAAACAGTATGATAAGCCCAATCAAGACAAAGAGAGGGTCTATTTAAAACCACATTTGTCCTCGACTCCTCCTAACCAGGACTACAAGAGATATTGCTCCGTTGTATTTGCAGTTGTTCTGGCAGAGGCACACATAAGACGTGAAATTATTCACAAATACGAAAAACGTCGATTAAAGCTTATTAACCACTTCAAAGAAGGTTGCATCATCATTGCATTGTCAAATAGACCACCATACCTCCACGGTGTATCAGGAACATCAAACAGCAATGTTGGCCCACGTCACGAGTATTACCTTGTTTCAGAACCAAATAAAGAACGCCATTCAACAACAGTAAGAACCTCCATAATTCAGCACACCCACCGTACTAATTCCTTTTCCTACATCACGCAACAGGAGCTGTGTATCCCGCCAATCCATTCTATGCAAGACGAAAATCTTAGCAAAACGAACTACGAAACAACGTACGAGAGCAATACCCCATACGAAATAAGTCACACAGAAGCACAACAGAAACAATGGGCCATAAAAAATGCCAACGAGGAAACTGCCAGACGGAAGGCTGCAGAGGAAGAAGCTGCCAGACGGAAGGCTGCAGAGGAAGAAGCTGCCAAACAGAAGGCTGCAGAGGAAGAAGCTGCCAGACGGAAGGCTGCGGAGGAAGAAGCTGTCAGACGGAAGGCTGCAGAGGAAGAAGCTGCCAGACGGAAGGCTGCAGAGGAAGAAGCTGCCAGATGGAAGGCTGCGGAGGAAGAAGCGGCCAGACGGAAGGCTGCAGAGGAAGAAGCTGCCAAACAGAAGGCTGCAGAGGAAGAAGCTGCCAGACGGAAGGCTGCAGAGGAAGAAGCTGCCAGACGGAAGGCTGCAGAGGAAGAAGCTGCCAGATGGAAGGCTGCGGAGGAAGAAGCGGCCAGACGGAAGGCTGCAGAGGAAGAAGCTGCCAAACAGAAGGCTGCAGAGGAAGAAGCTGCCAGACGGAAGGCTGCGGAGGAAGAAGCGGCCAGACGGAAGGCTGCGGAGGAAGAAGCTGCCAGACGGAAGGCTGCAGAGGAAGAAGCGGCCAGACGGAAGGCTGCAGAGGAAGAAGCTGCCAAACAGAAGACTGCGGAAGAAGCTGCCAGACGGAAGGCGGCGGAGGAAGAAGCTGCCAAACAGAAGGCTGCAGAGGAAGAAGCTGCCAAACAGAAGACTGCGGAAGAAGCTGCCAGACGGAAGGCGGCGGAGGAAGAAGCTGCCAAACAGAAGACTGCGGAAGAAGCTGCCAGACGGAAGGCTGCAGAGGAAGAAGCTGCCAAACAGAAGGCTGCAGAGGAAGAAGCTGCCAGACGGAAGGCTGCAGAGGAAGAAGCTGCCAAACAGAAGGCTGCAGAGGAAGAAGCTGCCAGACGGAAGGCTGCGGAGGAAGCTGCCAGACGGAAGGCTGCAGAGGAAGAAGCCGCCAAACAGAAGGCTGCAGAGGAAGAAACTGCCAGACGGAAGGCTGCAGAGGAAGAAGCTGCCAAACAGAAGGCTGCAGAGGAAGAAGCTGCCAGACGGAAGGCTGCGGAGGAAGAAGTTGCCAGACGGAAGGCTGCGGAGGAAGAAGCTGCCAGACGGAAGGCTGCGGAGGAAGAAGCTGCCAGACGGAAGGCTGCAGAGGAAGAAGCTGCCAGATGGAAGGCTGCGGAGGAAGAAGCGGCCAGACGGAAGGCTGCGGAGGAAGAAGCTGCCAGACGGAAGGCGGCGGAGGAAGAAGCTGCCAGACGGAAGGCTGCAGAGGAAGAAGCTGCCAAACAGAAGACTGCGGAAGAAGCTGCCAGACGGAAGGCGGCGGAGGAAGAAACTGCCAGACGGAAGGCTGCAGAGGAAGAAGCTGCCAAACAGAAGGCTGCAGAGGAAGAAGCTGCCAGACGGAAGGCTGCGGAGGAAGAAGTTGCCAGACGGAAGGCTGCGGAGGAAGAAGCTGCCAGACGGAAGGCGGCGGAGGAAGAAGCTGCCAGACGGAAGGCTGCAGAGGAAGAAGCTGCCAAACAGAAGGCTGCAGAGGAAGAAGCTGCCAGACGGAAGGCTGCGGAGGAAGAAGCTGCCAGACGGAAGGCGGCGGAGGAAGAAGCTGCCAGACGGAAGGCTGCAGAGGAAGAAGCTGCCAAACAGAAGGCTGCAGAGGAAGAAGCTGCCAAACAGAAGGCTGCAGAGGAAGAAGCTGCCAAACGGAAGGCTGCAGAGGAAGAAGCTGCCAAACAGAAGGCTGCGGAGGAAGAAGCTGCCAGACGGAAGGCTGCGGAGGAAGAAGCTGCCAGACGGAAGGCTGCAGAGGAAGAAGCTGCCAGACGGAAGGCTGCGGAGGAAGAAGCTGCCAAACGGAAGGCTGCGGAGGAAGAAGCTGCCAAACAGAAGGCTGCAGAAGAAGAAGAGGCTTCTCTTAGTCGTGAGCGCGAGCTTGTACGGAGTGCGACCGCCCATTGTATCAGCGGTTTTGCAGATCATTTTCTGTCAGAGTGCATTGTGAGCGCTGCTGGTACCTTCCGCACTGAGCTGGATAGACGAGTGGCGGAGGAAGAAGCTGCCAGACAGAAGGCTGCGGAGGAAGAAGCTGCCAGACAGAAGGCTGCGGAGGAAGAAGCTGCCAGATGGAAGGCTGCGGAGGAAGAAGCCGCCAAACAGAAGGCTGCGGAGGAAGAAGCTGCCAGACGGAAGGCTGCGGAGGAAGAAGCTGCCAGACGGAAGGCTGCAGAGGAAGAAGCTGCCAGACGGAAGGCTGCGGAGGAAGAAGCTGCCAAACGGAAGGCTGCGGAGGAAGAAGCTGCCAAACAGAAGGCTGCAGAAGAAGAAGCCGCCAGACGGAAGGCTGCAGAGGAAGAAGCTGCCAAACAGAAGGCTGCAGAAGAAGAAGCCGCCAGACGGAAGGCTGCAGAGGAAGAAGAGGCTTCTCTTAGTCGTGAGCGCGAGCTTGTACGGAGTGCGACCGCCCATTGTATCAGCGGTTTTGCAGATCATTTTCTGTCAGAGTGCATTGTGAGCGCTGCTGGTACCTTCCGCACTGAGCTGGATAGACGAGTGGCGGAGGAAGAAGCTGCCAGACGGAAGGCTGCAGAGGAAGAAGCTTCCAAACAGAAGGCTGCGGAGGAAGAAGCCGCCAGACGGAAGGCTGCAGAGGAAGAAGCCGCCAAACAGAAGGCTGCGGAGGAAGAAGCTGCCAGACGGAAGGCTGCAGAGGAAGAAGCTGCCAGACGGAAGGCTGCGGAGGAAGAAGCTGCCAAACAGAAGGCTGCAGAGGAAGAAGCTTCCAAACAGAAGGCTGCGGAGGAAGAAGCTGCCAAACAGAAGGCTGCAGAGGAAGAAGAGGCTTCTCTTAGTCGTGAGCGCGAGCTTGTACGGAGTGCGACCGCCCATTGTATCAGCGGTTTTGCAGATCATTTTCTGTCAGAGTGCATTGTGAGCGCTGCTGGTACCTTCCGCACTGAGCCGGATAGACGAGTGGCGGAGGAAGAAGCTGCCAGACGGAAGGCTGCAGAGGAAGACGCTGCCAAACAGAAGGCTGCAGAGGAAGAAGCTGCCAGACGGAAGGCTGCAGAGGAAGAAGCTGCCAGACGGAAGGCTGCAGAGGAAGAAGCTGCCAGACGGAAGGCTGAGGAGTTTATTGAGACATCAAGGAATAATGAAGTTAGGGCTGTTTCTGGAAGTGTAGAAAGTGTCTTTTTGCAGAATAAGTTGGATGAAAGATTTCCCCGAATGGTGAAGGAGGATGAGTTATCGCGTTTTCAGGAGTGTGTTTTTAATGTATGTGAGGCATTGCTAATGGAATGGCTTGTTCAGGCTGCTGATTTGGTGAATAACGAGGGCGGTAGTGCTATTACCACGGTCACTTTGGATGCCATTGAGAGGAATTGTCCACCCGATATCAAGGCTCACGACTCCGATAGAAGCGATTCTTTGGGTGTATTGGGTGGAAAGTCTTCAAAAGCTAGCCCGTTACAGGCGAGGGATAATAGCGCTGTAGAGAGCGTGCAATATGGTGAAACTGTAGAAAATACGGCAGGTGATTCTCTACTTGTCTCGGTGGACCCCACGCCGGCTTTACATAAAGAGGATGCGCAAAGTGTTGTCACGGTTCCCATCTCTGCTGCAGTTGTTAAAGCCGATATCATCCGTAAGCAACTGTTATCAGGCGATCAGGTCAACATTGCTTTGGGTCCTGCTGTTACGGGCGAGGTTTGGTCGTGCCCCACTCCCGGTGTCAAAAAGGGTGGAGGCAGCAACGCCGCGATGACGGAGGCGGTGACAGTGTACATAGTCGAGCAAGCGGGTGTGGCTGTAGAGGCGATTGGTGATGCTGGTGATTTATCGTACGCAACGGTAGAAGCAACGCTTTGGCGTGGTCTTATTGGGGCGACCTCCGCCGCCGTTGCGTCGACAGGTGAAGTGACTGAAGAGTGGCGTGCCGGTCTTAGGGCGTTGGCGGAGCGCATTGCCTCGGACTACGTCTATTTTGCGTCGAAGCAAAAATTGCGGAAGCTAGATGAGTATCTTTGGCACGCTGAGGCGTTTCTTACACCGGAAGAAATCACAGCGCGCTCCATCGCCGCCGTCACCCCGCGGCGCTTTTTCAATGGACTGCAGCGAAGCGATGTGCGGTTCCTGATACATCACTATGTGGAACTCGCCCGCAAAGGGACGCTCAACGAGGACATTTACACAGAGGCAAGATTGCGCGAAAATCTTTTTGAACGGCAGCACGATGATGTCGCTTCACCCTTGCTTTCACAGCAAACCAGCGGCACAACGACGAAAAAAAACAATGCTAGTGGTCGAACTATTCTTGCCGTTAACCGACGCCGTGCCGGGCTAACGCAGTTGGTGCTTGGGCATGCCCTGGAAAACCTTTTGGAGGAAACGGTTGCAGAGACCAGTAAGTGGATTGCGTCTCTTGTGGCAAATTAGTTTCTTTGGAAATGAAGGCGCAGGGGGGAAAACAGAGTGACAGCACGAGAGAATAACTTAATTTTAAATTCTTCTCCCATCCATTTACCTTTCTCCTTCTTCTCCATCTGTACGGCTATGTGTTGTGTCTATTGTATTTTTTTTTTTTTTTTTTTACTTGGTATTTCTCCTCTCTTGCCGTTGTGTCCTTTGCGTTGTCGTTTGTTTGTCTGTTTGGTTAATTGGTTGGTTGGAGGTTGTTGTTGTTGGAGATTATGGCTTTTCGGGAACCCAGTAGCGATGGGCACTTCTTTTTTTTTTTCTTGTTGTTTTTTAATTTTCTCCAACAGAAGGGAAATGGACCCGTTTGCCTTTATTGTACAGGGCCTTGAAAAACCCGTGCGTGTGCACACAGTGAGCAATGAGACAGTGGATGGTACGCTGTTGGCGGTGGATGATCACTGTAACGTGATGTTGCGGGGGTGGAAAGTGGTGGGACACGACACGAAAGGCGTAGAGGGGCCGGCATCATCGTCCCTATTAGCCCCTATTCGTTTTATTCGTGGCGCACAAATAAAAACCATTACACTTGTACAGTAGTGCGTGTCTGTATGCATCTCTATGAGACGAGATAGAGAGAGAGAAAGAGTGAAAGACAATTGGCATGGAGAGGCTGCTGCAGATGAAGATGATGGTGGCGGTCTTCTGGTAATTTGAGAGGCCACGCAGCGCGAGGAAGATGCAGAAAGACATGGGGGGGAATTGGCGGCAGTGGTGCGTGTATTTGCCTTCTTTTATTGTTGTTGTTATCTCACCTGTTTTCGGTTGTTGTTTTTTCTTTTCTTTTCTTTTTGCAGCGGTAAAGTCCTGTCTGATTGCGCCACCTCACTCCCACTCTCACTCTCTCTCCGTTGTTCTTTTTTTTATTTTTATTATTATTCATCTTGTTGGCGCAGTGACTCTGCAGTGAGGAGGGGGTGGGGGGTATAACCGCTAAGCGGAGGAGGAAGGGCGAAGACGGAAGGCAAAAAAAAAAGGAAAAAAGGAAAAAAGGAAAAAAAGGTAACAGCCGACCTGTGTGTGTGTGTGTGTGTGTGTGTGTGGTGGGGGGCGGGGGGGCGAGAAGGAGTAAAGAAAAAAAAAAAAAAGGGGGGAACTTGCATGAATCCAGCAGCAGGGGGTGTGGTATACGACACGCTGTCGTCACAGCCGCAGAGGAGTATGCCCCAACCACACTACGCCGCATTGGAAGCCAATGAGCGTTACTTTCGTCAGGAGAAAGTAGGTGAAGGGTCATACGGTGTTGTGTACAAATGCCTTGATAGACAAACAGGTCGCATTGTCGCCGTGAAACGGATCTCGTTGAAGCTTAAGGATGAAGGGGTACCGGCAACGGCGGTACGGGAAGTGTCTCTTCTTCGAGAATTGAATCATCCGTACGTTGTGCAGCTTCTTGATGTATCCCTTCAGGATTCAAAGTTGCTTCTTATCTTTGAATACATGGAAAAGGATTTGCAGGGATTATTGAAGCAGCGAAACACACCACTTGTAGGAGGAAAACTGCAACGTATTATGTTTCAGTTATTGTTAGGATTACACGCCTGTCACAGCCGTCGCTTCGTACATCGTGATATTAAGCCAAGCAATATTCTCATCAGTCGCGATGAGTCGGTGGTGAAATTGGCGGATTTTGGTTTGGGTCGTGCCTTTCGTGTTCCGCTGCAAACATACACAACGGAGGTGATGACACTGTGGTACCGCGCACCGGAGGTCTTACTCGGGGATAATCATTACCTCCCTGCCATTGATGTGTGGTCGATGGGATGTGTCATGGCAGAACTTGCGAAAGGAACGCCTCTTTTTGCCGCTGATACCGCCATCAGTCAATTGTTTGCCATATTCCAAGTCCTCGGCACCCCGTCGGAGTCTACATGGCGTGGTGTGTCCTCCTTGTCGCACCACAATGTCGACTTCCCTCAGTGGCGGCCTACCTCACTGAGTAGTGTCATCCCCACACTGGAGCCAGAGGGAATCGATCTGCTGCAACGCATGCTGCTGTACGATCCACGTCAGCGTATCACCGCGTATGACGCGCTTCGTCACAGCTGGTTTGACGACGTGCGGCATGACATGAGTGAAGAGGCCGCTCTTTAATGTCCGAGTGGATTTACAAGAAGACATCCGTGACAGTTGTGTGTGTGTGCGTCTGCCTGGCGTACTAATGAAGCACAACGAGGAGGAAGGAAGGACAAATATTTATTTTTCATGCATGTTGTCGTCATGTGGACAGCGGCAAGGAGAAACAGAGGGAAATCGCAGCTGAAGAAAACAGAACCAACAAACAACAAAAAAAAGAAAAGAAAAGGTAATAAAATTGAAATTAAAAATAAAATAAAACTTAAATAAAATAAAACCTGTTGTTTTTTTTGGTTGTAGCCCAAAGCAGCGTCAAAGTAATTGTGACGAGACGCAGATGATTCATATTATTATTATTATTATTTATTTTTTTTTTTTTCTTTCTTGTTGTGTGTGTGCGTGTTTGTGTTTTTTGATTTTGGTTTGACGATGGTGATGGTGATTATTAATTATTAATAATTATTATTATTGTTTCCGTGTGTACTTCATGGCTGCGACAAGTCTATTGAAAAATAAAATAAAATAAATGAATTATTCCTTGAGCCATAAAAGAAGGAAGCCCATACATACATACATACATACATGCATGCATGCATATGATCAATACTTCATAATGGATATTAGGAGAGATTTTTCTATAGATGAGGGCAGAAGAGTGTGAGAGAGAAAGAGAAAGAGAGAGAGAGTGTGTGTGTGTGTGAGGGAAAAGGGGGAGAGGGAGGGAGAGAACATGAAATAATAATAACAATAACACAGAGGACTAGTGGGGGAGATAGAGAAACGGAACAAAAGGAAACAAAAAGAAGAAAGGAGACCGATGCGTCAAGCTTTAACTTCAACCGATGATGAGGAGGAAAGAAAGTGAGTGTATGCATACATGTGTACATACACGCAGATGTGCATATTTATTTATTTATTTATTTATTTATTTGAAGGAGGAGGGGAGGGGGGGGGGAAGTGTGGCGGTTGCGGGGTCCTCACGACTGCCATTTCTTAAATTTTGTGTTTTGTTGTTGTTGTTTTTGTTTTTTAGCCCTTTATCTCTCTCCTTTTTTTTTTTTTTTTTTTTTTTTTTTTTTTCCCTTTGCGTGTGTGTGTGTGTGTGTGTGTGTGTGTCCATCTTTTATTATTATCTATTACAGAAAAAAAAAAAAAAAAAAAAAAAACTATTACTATTCTTGCTACTGCTGTCGTTGTTTTTGTTTGTTTGTTTGTTTGGCCACCCTCCTTTGGGCGTCAGATATTTATTTATTTATTTATTTATTTTTTTTTCTTTTTTCTCATTTTGTGTGTATGTGCATACATATATATAATATATAATATAATATAATATAATATTAGCGTGAATATTCTTTGGGAGGGATATTTTTGTTCAATGTTTGCGGGGCGGTGCATTTTCATTCCTTACCCCCCCACCCACCCCACGTCTTCTCGCTTTCCTTTTTCAATGTGCGCACTGTGATACCTTCATTTCTTTTTTATTTTTTTTTTTTTTATTTTTTGCTGCATTACACGCGTGGTGTTACAACTTTGTTTTCCCCAGAAAGACGCGGTTGGTCCGGGCGCTGGTTGAATACCGTCAGCCCTGCGCCAACAACAACAACAACAACAATCCCGTGAGGGAAACATGGCTGGCACTTGGATTCCCCCGACAATACGGAGGCAATGAACCCTGGCGTACAACGCTGAGGCGGCCGGTGGTATTGCCAGGGGAGCGGTCTCCAGTTGGGCTCTGCGCTTTGCCCTGGAGGACCCCGGGTTGAATTTCACTCGGGGTCCGCCCACACGGCCCGAAGTAGTGTGGAGATGACTGGCTGTGGCTCCCCCGTGCGACAGGCCCGGATAATTGACCGTGATTCAATGGATGCCAACTTCCGCATGTATTTTCCACCGTCGCAGTCTCTGGGCCAGGCGCTTTACCCCTGCAAGAATGCCGCTGGGATTGCGGGGTAATTCACTATGCGTTGGCAGCACGGCAGCGACCACATCATAGTGCCGTGCAGACTGGAATCCGGAGCACTGCGCTGCAGAATGGTTGACTTTTGGCTTCCCGAAGGAATCGCTTCAGCGTCCTTTGGTGATGAACCCCTCCTGGCGTCACGATGAGGTGGTCAACCATGAAATTTCAAAAGGAGTTGACGTATGTTTACTGTCATGTCAGGTGTGGGCGAGCACTAAGGAAAACACGGGGCCTTCTCTTCAGCTTAAAGAAGGCCTCAATCACTGTGGACAAGCACAAATACACCCCTTTCCTTTTTATAAATGTATATAAACATGTACACTTGTATCTGACGGACTTTAATTGAAGAGGAGGGGGAAAAAACACCGAAGGGATTTTGCCTTTTTTTCTTCTTTTTTTGTTTTTCTTTTCACTATTTATTTTTCTTTTGGAAAGAGAGTGTGTGGCCCTTGTGAATACCAGCAACGTTTTTACCCACAATGACATTAGTGGCTTCTTGTGGTGGAATTTACTTCCCTGAGACACCGGTGGAAAACATTCTCACCCTGACGTGGCAAGTGAAAGAGGGCAGTGAGGCAGCAGTGCCGTATGGCAGCGTGGTCTTCAAGGTGAAATCCTCTTCACCCAAGTCGTTTTACGTGCACCCGCGCTATGGGGCACTGCTGGTTTCTGACGGCCTTGGCCTGCCACGGGACCCTTGTAGTACGCAGGTAACATTTGGTCTGCGTCCGGCTGCCACGGAGGTGCTAAGTGAGGCGGCGGCCACAACCGCCCCGCGCTCTGCCACTTCGATAGGTGTTGGCAATGGATACCATGAACGGATTGTGATTGAGTACATCCACGTTTCCGGGGACCGCGCCATTTATGATCGTCTGTCGCAAGGTCTGGCTGCGGATAGCCGGCTTTCAGAGGTGGTGCGGGGCGTGTGGGACCTCATGACAGGAGGAACTCTCCACGCGACGCGAGGCACACCCATCACTCTCAAGGTGTACACGGAGTGTGTCACGAGGGAGAGCGGAAAAAAGGGGGACGGGGTGGTGGTGGTGGTGCCACCCACCGCGAAACTGGTGCCGCCGGCGTTGCGAGAGCAGTTGCTGAATCGTATGTCGACTGCTCATGCGCGGGAAATTAGTACGTCCTCTACCGCCCCATCAGCATCCGAGAAACACACCCGCGGTGCTGGAACCAGTGAGTTGCGGGCGCTGAAGCTCGGCATCGATGCGCTGCGTAATGAACCCGAGGCGGCCACAACCGCCGCTCCTGTCGCCACGGATGACACGTACAACAGCAGCAGTAAGAACATCCCACGTTTACAGGCCGATCATACAGAAACGGATATTTTGATGCGCATGCCGAAATTAGATAGTGCTACAACAAAAGGATCAAAGGATGGGGTACCCTTATTTATGGTGCTTGCAGCAATGCTTTTTACATATGTGATAACAATGCTGCTGTGGCGCACCATTTGAATACCCTTATACACATATTCATATACATATATACATATATGAGTCTCATGTATGCTGTTGACGCATTGAGATGAAAGGGGGGCATAAAGAAAGAGGGAGAAATCGCATGAGCCATAGCAAGTGTATGTATGTATGTACGTATATATATACCAAAGACACAGATATGGCTCCCTAATGCAGCCAAGATGAAAATGGGAAGACATGTTTATATATATATATATATATATGTTTCTGTGAGTAAAAAGATGAGAATTGAAGTAGACGAGCAGATCCACCACACAAATCATGACTCAAACCCTCTATAATAATAATAATAAGAAGAAGAAGAAAAAAGAAAGAAGGAATGAGTATGGACAGGGAAAAAAAAAGGGGGGGGGAGCGAATAAAGAGAAAAAGAAAGTGAAAATAAAGTCGTATTACATGTATGGTACCAAAATCACTTGAGGAAAAAAAAAAAAAGAAAAGAAAAGAAATGGCGAAATGGTTGAGTTCCTCCCCGTATGTGTTTTATGTTTGCTTCTGTTTTGTTGTTGTTGTTGTTGTTGATGTGTTTTTTTCTTATTATTCTTCTTTGTGTGTGCGTGGGGGGTAGGGAATAGCCGCTGCTGTGACCCCCCTCCCCCTTTGCCCCGCCTGAAGGCATGCGTTGGGATTGACGGAGAGACTCCCGGTGGTTCTCCCTCTCTTTGTGTATGCGCATGTGCCTTTGTGTATGTGTGTGTGTATGTGTAGGGAGAAATGAAACGTGTTTGGAGAGACGGAAGGCGGTGGAACTTTGCAGCGACGTTCCTTCCTTTTTTTTTTTTTTTTTTTTTTTGTTTGTTTGCCCTACAGTTTTCCTTTCTTTTCTTCTTATTATTTATTATTATTATTATTATATATATATATATATATATATGTGTGTGTGGCGCACGTAAATTCCTCCTCTTCATCCTCTTATTTTTCCTTTTTTTTTTTTTTTTTTCAGTGCGTATGTGTGTGTATTTATTTTATTTTATTTTATTTTATTTTATTTACGCGTTTGTGTATGTATTTATGTGTGTATTTATGCGCACTTATTCTTCTATTCTCCCTACTCCACCTTCCTGTGTTTGTTTGGTTTGGTTTGTTAAATGTCAACAGGTAGAGCTGCGACAGGGGTTGCAGGGCGGACCATCAAACGGAAGGTGCAGTCTAATCGGGATGCCCCGTACAACACACGTCTTTTCAACACATTGTGGACGTATCGCAGCGGGCAGTTAACGACAAGTAATGTGCGTCGGCTAAAAGAGACAGGCATTCCAATCGGTTATGGCTCCAACGGCAATGGTAACAAGTACGATGAGGGGGGGGACGCACCTGTCAAAAGCGATCTGCAGCCTCATGCGATGCACAAATTTACAGGGGACGAGAATTGGTCCCTTCTCATTGCGGTTCCGAAAAACTCGGAGCACTTTCACAACATTCTCGAGTGTTCCAGAGGAAGTCTTATGGTCGGGCACACCGACCCCCAGTTGTTTCACTGGTTCAAGCAACTTGGCACTTTGCCGCCGCGGGCAATTCTCTCCGGCCCACTGGAACTTCTCTCTGGCGACATGCAGCACGAGGCATGGGAGGAAACGTTTTCCCGCCACCCAGTGATTCATAGCATCGCACAAGACATGTGGACACGCAAGGATAGTAAGACCGAAGAGGAAGTTGTCACCATTGAACGCCGAGAACGTGAGGAGGACGAAAAGCGCATGCGTCGCATGAGCAGCAGTGATTGGCGGGCAAAATTCAAGGACCGTGAGCGCAATCCCACCGCCGAGGAGGATGAAGAACGGCCTATTTATGTCATCAAGCCAGAGACTTTTGCGCTGCTACGGCTGCAGCCAGATGTAAAGCTTTGGATGAATGTTGTTTCCCAGACGCAGCGTGTCTGGGAGCCTGTGATTCCCGACCCTGACCCGCTCTGTCGCTGTGCCCCACGTTTCCTGCGCATGCTTAACCTCGCGCGGCAAAAACTTGTACCGTCACTCAATATGAACTTTGCCCTGAAGCTGACAAATGCGTTTATATTTGAGGTGGACAAGGAAGGACTGTGGGCGATGGGAACACAAGAAAACCTCCACGGAACTTGTTCGCCCGCCGACGGTGCGGTACGGGAGGAGTGGACGGAGTTACGCTTGGAGTTTGGGAAGGGCCAAGTGATACAGACGGAGCAGGAGATGGAGTGGTGGGTGCGTGGGCTGACGAAACTCGGGGCACCGGAGATGTCGCAGTCGAACAGTCAAGTGGAGGATGCGGGAATGAACCCGGAGGATTACGACTACCGCCACATCTGAGACGTTTACAAAAAGAAAGGAAGAATGAAGGAATCATATTGACATGCGCACTCGCTCGCTCGCTCTCTCTCTCTTTCTCCCCTTTTTTTCACAATTTATGTATGTCTCAACAACGAGAATGGAACGGAGGGGAAAATACCAAAAGAAAAAAAAGGAAGAGGAAGAGGAGGGGCAACATTTGTTTGACTTCCATTGAGGTTTGTGCTCCATGCAAAAAAAAAAAAAAAAAAAAAAAAAGGAAAGAAAAACAAAAACAAAAAAAAAAGACAAAAGTGGGATGGCGATGAGTGAAAACTGGGAGGGGAGAAAAAAGAAAAGAAAAGGAAGATGAGGCAAATGACATGTGAAAAGATAACAAAATAAATAAATATATAAATAAATATATGAGAATTATTTTAAAATTTTTAACATGTAATTTGTCTTAATTTAATCTCTTGTTGCTTGGTACTGTTACTGTGGTAGTAGGTTAACTAAGGGAAGTACACACATGACGTCTATGGCGCCGCAGGGTTGGGCGCAAGGGGGCGGCGACCGTTGGTACCCACAACAACAACAGCCTCAGCCTCAGCCTCAGCCGCAACTCCCGATGCAACCGCAGATGCAACCACAGATGACTGTTGGGCCGCAGTGGCAATCGATGAATGGGGCACCGCCTTCCATGGGGTTCCACCCGTCATATCCGCGTTCATACATCACGCCCCAGTCGCCTCAAATGCAACCGTCAACACCCCCGCAAACACCTCCACAAACACCATCATACAATCTACAGCCACCACAGATGTATCCACAGCCGCCAATGGGTCAACCGCCGTTCTGGGGGGTGCCGCCGTACCAGCAAGGGTACGCACAACAAGGCTGTTGTGATCAAATGTGTTATACCATTCCCGGTCAGCCTGGACCATGTGATGGGTGTGGAGGTCAGGCGGTGGGTAGTGGTTGTTGTTGCTGCAACAATGGACCAATGGACCCTTACTGTTGTGGACAACCAACGACGCCTGGTTGTATGGACTGCCTGACATCTCACTGTGAATATACATATTGTGTTATGATCTTTTTTACCATACTCAGCGCGGTGGGTTTTATTGTTGTGCTTGTATATGCAGACGATGACAACCTTTTTAAAAGATTTCGTGCTAACAACACGATTGGGTTGCAGGAATCCATAAGGGAACATATTATTATAAGTACTAGTTGCGAGGCTAACAAATTAATTGGTCTCGCCGGCCGTGTGTGCATGGAAGGTAACCTCAATGCAAACACGTTTGTCGTTCAACTCAGCGAATGGAATATACAGAGATACACTCTTTACTTTATTGCCATGTTATTTTCCATTGTAACACTCGTGTATGCGACAATTGTGCATTTTCAGCGTCAGAAAGTTGAGAGAGAACCCAAAGCTGTTTGGCCCTCTCAACAACAACAGCAGACAGGCAAGCAAAGACCTGAAAATACTGCTCAGGATGCGGCACATGGGGCCAATGCAAAGGAGCAACAACAACAAAAACAACAACAACAACAACAACAACAACAACAGCAGCAGCAGCAACAACAACAACAACAACAACCCTTATCACCTTCCATTAATAGGCCCATTGAAGTTTACGGCACGCCTTTTTACGAATTTATGCGTATTGCGTGGTTTGTAATGGGTGTGGCAGTTGTCTTTTGGGTGGCTAATCTATTGTACTCCTTCTGGGCCTTTTATTCATTTTATCATCGCTCCACAACAGGACCGCTGCGGAAGTTTTTTGAAGAATACAATACCCGTTTCAGTGCCTCTGTCATTTGTGTCGGGATTTACCTTGCATGGCCTATTGTAAACATCTTTGTGGAACTGGTCTTGTGGATAGTCTTTTTTTTGCCATGGCTTATATTCCGGACATTATTTAAACCTGGTATTGGAAAACTACGACCGGCACTTCCACTTGATAAAATGCCTGGATGTATTCGTTGCGACATGTTTTTTATGGACTTTAATGAAGTTCAACGGGCCGGCTTCTCGGAACCCGCTTGGAAGCTCATAACAGGCAGCACCACGCCACTCTTCCCATGTTGTGAGGACCCTGCCGTTGATAGGGATCCCACAATGGCGGCGTGGCATCAATACCAGTATGAGTGGTACATGCGCATGCAGGGGGCGTACCCGGTACCTGGAATGCAAGCCATCGGTCCGCAAATGTTGCCGTCTCCCACGACATCGGTCTCTGTGGATATGCGGGAGGGTGAATCAAGACATCGAACACGCAGCGGCAGCGCACGACACCACCGTCGCCATCACAGGAATGAAGCCGGTGGTGCGGCGGACGAAAGCGCCACTAGTCCAGCGGGGGGCAGCAGCCCACGGCGGGCCTCGGGTGCGCAGACTCAAGACGTTGAGGAGGGCAGACACAGACGACGGCGTCACAGCAGATCAAAAAGAGGTGAAGAAGACGGCGGGGAAACGAATGGCGGAGCTGTGGAAGGCCGACACAGACGCCACCGCCGCCACAGTCGTGGTGAAGGCGACCAAAGCAACACCATGACCGGTGTTACCGCAGAGCGGAGCACTCAAAAGCATAACGCGGACTTGGACCGAATGTTGGAAGAGCTATAGTCAAAAGGCACGGCAATCTGAAGAGTTAGGGGTGGAGTTGTTGAATGAAGAAACTCAAAAAAAAAAAAAAAAAAAGGAAGAAAGTGAAGAAATATATATATATATATAGAGGAAGAGAGAGAAAGAATGGAGTTGAATAACATAAAATGTACATGCATTGATTATTTCATGTTTTCCCTTTATGGGAACATGCAGGCATACTTGCAAAGTATTTTTTTTTTTTTTTTTTTTTTTTTTTTGATTTTACCAGGACATGAAAAGGGCATCTCCACATTTACGTAGATGAACTGCGTTTTTTTTTTTTTGTTTGTTTGTTTGTTTGTTTTGGGGGTGGTGGAAGATGTGCGTGCGTGTGCGTGTGCGTGTAGGGAAGGAAAACACATCCATTTTTTTTTTTTTTGTTTTTGTTTTTCTGCTTGTTTTATCTGTTGTAGAAACGCCGAATCCATCGTGTTTCCATCTGTAAACAACAACAACAACAACAACAAAGAAGAAGAAGAAGAAGAAAGAAGAAAAAAAAAAGATGCATATTTTTTTGTTATTTATGTTTTCCCTCTCCCACCCTTTCTTTTTTTTTTTTTTTTGTATTTCTCTCTGCCTGTCTGTCTATATATACATGCATGTATATATATATAGAGTGTACATGGATAGAGGAGAAGTGAGAGGGAAATGGAGATGGCGGTTTATATTTATGTGGGTTATAGAGACGGTGGAAAATAGAATGGCAGAGAGTATGCCGCATAGAGAGAGAGAGAGAAAAAAAGGGTACACAAACAAACAAACATGTGTGTGTGTGTGTGTGTGCACATGCGGGCAGACGGACAGGCAGGCAAGCAGGCATGAAGAAGATGTGAGCAAAAGTGAATGTCATGAGAAGAAGGGAAGGGACACAACAGACAATCGGAAGGTCATCACAAAGGGAGGAGAGGGGGAAGACCCAAGAAAAGTGCTCTCAACAGCCATTATACATTCAATGAGTATTATATATATTTATATATAATATTTATAATATTATCTGATATTTTTGAAAAGAAAAAGAAAAGAGAAAGAGAGTGAGGGGAATTGAAGGAACAAACAACAACACCAACAACAACTACAACAAAAGGCAAGTAACAAAAAGGAGGAGAAAAAATACATAAATATAAATATATATATTTTTAAGGAAAGAGTGAAGAGAAGGAGGGGGTTGGGAGGGGTGGTATGCGGCTTCTTATTATTTGATGAGATGTTTGACTGTTTGTTTTTGTACCTCCTTTCTGTTCACTCATTTGCCGCAAGCGAACACACACACACACGCATGCATGCAATGCACAAGCAAACTCCTGGGAAGAAGCGGAAGTGGAGTCATAAAGTCTTTACCGCCTTTCCCCCTCTCCCCCTACCACCACTTTCACTTCTTCCTGCGTGTATGTCGTTTGAGGTGCGTGGGGAGGGGTGGGGAATACACCTGGTCCAATGCATGCACACACACACACACACAGAGAGAGAGAGAGAGGCATGCTTATATATATATATATATTTATATGTATGCATCTTCCTCCCCTTTTTTTTGTGAGTATGATGGTGACAACTTCTGCTTTGTTTTGTTTTTGTTTATTATTATTATTAAGCCTGTGTTTCCGCCCCGCTCTTACCACTTCCTTTTTTTTTTTTTTTTTTGCCTGTTTGATCTTTTTCTTGTTGGTTTGTCATGCCTTCTCTGGCGGGCTGCTTGGGTGCGCCGTGAGGTAACTTTTTTTTTTTTGACTCCTTTGTTGCTTTTTTTTTTTTTTTTTTTTTTTTACTTCTCCCTGTTCTCATTGCTTCTCTCTGTAAAATAAAAATGAAAAAAAAAAAACTTTATTTAAGGCGTTGCTTGTCACACTGCGTCGTCTGTTGCTGCACGCCAAACACGCAACGACGCCATTTTCTCCTCCTCCTCTTTTTTTTTTTTCTTTTTGTTTCAGGGGAGTTTAGTTTTCAGGGTTAAGGTGCGATGGGGGACGGCAGCACCGCGAACCGGGCGCCGCGTCTCTTTGACGGCCCAACTGGTGATGTAAACACGGCCTTTACGCATAAAGTGCGGCAGCTGCTGCTGTCATCATCATCCTGCGGGACTTCGAGTCTCCCGGCGGCAGTGCGGGCCTCTCCGCTCTACGCCGCCATTCTTTGCTTTGCGGAGGCGGGGAATGAGAGCCGGCAGCAGCAGCAGCAGCAGCAGCGGTCTGGGAGTGAAGCGGGGAAGCCGTCTGTGGCATTTGCGCCTGTTATGCCTTCATCCCTCGCCCGCCGTGGTGTTGTGCCACGGGATCCACTTTTGCAACGAAGGATGCGCAGGCAGCAGCAGCAGCAGCAGCAGCCATCTTCATCATTATTGCTCTCCGGAACGAGTAAGGCGACACCCACCAGCAAGACGGCGGTGGATGGACACGAGCCGCAGGTACAACAACGGCAGTTGTCCCATTGGAGTAGACGTCCGCTGCAAGAAATGACATCTGCGGGGTGGGAAGTGTTTCGTGAGCAGATGGGGATACTCATGGAGATTGTGTCGCGCCGTGCAGTCGGGCAACCGGAAAAACAGCAACAGCCACGACCACCGAGGTACGCTGCGGATGCACTTCGTCCGATACGTTGCTGGGAAGAGGCACGTCTTCCTCTTGCGCTCGGAACGATTGTGTCTCGTCGCTACGCGTTACCAACGCCGATTCAGGCGCAATGTGTCCCGCTTGTCATGGCGACGGCGGCGACGCCAAGTGACAAGATTGACGTGCTTGGTGTTGCGGAAACTGGAAGCGGCAAGACGGCAGCGTACTTGATCCCATTGTTTGCAGATATCCTGCGCCGCACTCCACGACTACTTGGTAATGAGGCTCTCATTTCGCACGGCCCACTTGCACTTGTGATGGTGCCTACACGTGAGCTCGCCGAACAAGTGACACGGGAAGCAATTGAAATTATACACGGAATTCCCGAAATGGAACTGCGGTGTCTCATACAGGAGGAGTACAAGAATGACCCCGGCAATGATAACGTGGCTGCGCAGCACAATACGCTTGACGAAATTCGTGTCGTGAAGGTTGTGGGTGGTGAGCAAATGGAGGTGCAGTATGATGAGTTGTCCAAGGGTGCTCATGTTGTGGTTGGCACACTTGGACAACTGGACGCATTGTTGCAGCAGCGGTTCCTCGCTCTGGGTAATACGCGTCTTGTAGTCATGGATGAAGCAGACCGTATGATTGAGGAGCATCAGAGAGAGACCCTTGTTTCCGTGCTAGAGCGCTGTCCGATGCCCCGGCAGACGGTCATGTTCACCGCCACATTGAGTGAAGCGTGTGAGGAGGTGGCGCTGAAATATTTTTCACCGGATGGCTTTATCGTGGTGCGTGTGCCACACCGCTGCTCAACCATTACGCAGGTGTTTGAGATGGTGCCAAGCGACGCGGGTGCGATGGCTCCTGCGCCTGCCACCGTCGCAGCTCGCAGTGATGTGGGCAACCACGATACCTCGCAACAACGTTCAAATCAGCCGCAAGTGGAGCGCCGCCGTCACCCGCTGTTGCATCCCATGAAGTTTGCCCGGATTGTAACGTACTTGGCGTACGCAACCGCCCCCGTCGTGGTGTTTGCGAACGAAAAACGCACATGTGACGTACTGTACGATGAGTTGCGTGCTGAGGCAAATCACCTTGCCGCACTGGAGGAGAGCTTTTCGCTGGAGGCTCTCGTTGGAGAATCCCCGCCCGTCCTGCAGGGAAGCTTGCATGACAACAATAAACACCGACGGAGGCCCGTGCTAAATCTTGGCAACATGCGTTCTATTGCGTTGGTTCACTCGGAGCAGTCGCAGGCTGAACGGCGACGACTTGTAGAACTCTTTCGCCGTGGTGAGCGCCGTGTGCTCATTACCACCGATCTCCTTTCACGTGGCCTTGATGTGCCGAATGTGACACTCGTAATCAACTACGATATGCCTCGCGTGGGCACGGTCGGGCCTTCCATGGCTGCTGCCTCAGCCAGCGCGGGGGAGGAGGCGGTGCAAAAGTATATTCATCGCATTGGCCGAACCGGCCGCGCGGGGGCGAGCGGTGTGGCGGTCTCACTGTTGTGCCTGCCGTCCTCGCTGATTCAACGTGCCGAGCAACACACCCTGCGCAGTGCAGACGACAGGAGTCATGGCGGGAACGCGACGGAGAAGCCTCCGATGCAGCGGATTGACATGGCAGGCGTCTCTACAAAGACAAGGGTGCAGGAACGCGATCGGCAAGAATTGACTGGCGCGAAGAATGGCAAAGAATTGGATGAAAATCTGCTCAAATTCAACGATACGGATGATGCGATGGACAACAACGAGGAGGATGAGGATGAAGAGGGAGATGCGCCGCCGCGATCACGTCGGCGGATGGAGCGGCAACAGCAACGAGGAGGAGGAGGTGGTGGTGGTGGTGGTGGTCCTCCGCCATCATTCCCGCATGACGAACCGTTGCTGCAGCCGCTTTGGACGTTTATTGTGAGTTGCGCGGAGGCGAATGGCGGCGGTGTGCGTGGCACTGAGCTCATTCGCCAACAGCGATGTCGTCTTGTGCAGATGTCACCTGCCCTTGCGGCCCTCATGATGGCCTTCACGCGGAGTTCACCGTACGGTGCCATCATGACGTAGTGATCTCACTCACACCCACACCCACACACACACACACTCTCTCTCTCTTTTCATCGGTGTTTATGGTTAGAAGGGAACAGAGACAAAATTGCACACATGGCGGCTGCCGTGTCTCTGATGGTGATGATGTCCCACGAGGAAAAGGGAGAAAGACAAAAAAAAAAAAAACAACTGGACCATAACCAGAGGATTGCATACATGCACATATATATATATATATATGAACGAGGCAATTGGCTTTAAATTTAATGGCCATCTGCTGCAGTGAGAAGCGCGAAAGAAGAAAAAAAGAAAAAGACAAAAAAAAAGAAAAAAGGAGATGAAACTGAAGAAGAACGTTGACGTTTGAAAAAGTAATGAAAACACAGACAAGAAACACACACTCACACAACAAGCAGATTTCTTCTTTTTTTTATCTTTCTTTTCTTCATATATTTGACATTATTTTGAACAAATTTTCGTGCTGGTTTATCTTCTGTTGATTTTGGCAGCATCAGGCTTGTTTGGGGAAATGTAGCCTGCATGCTTGTAAGGTAAACCTCATCTCCTCGTATCTCTTTTCTCTCTCTCTCTCTCTTTATTTATATTTCTGTACATTTCAAGAACGGAGGCGGGAACAATATCTTGGAAACGGAACTTATCCCTTGTGCCACACGTGTCCCCACTCTACCCGTTACCCCCCCTAACCCCAACGTCGGCACCATCCATGCAGCACCTTGACAACATGGAGGATCGCGTGGATGCACTACTGCGCCAAATAGCAAATGGCGCTGAGCGCCGGGATAAGATTGTGGAGGCGGTCTCGCAAGCTGTGGCCGACACCGGAAGTCTCTCGGCCTGCGTGGAGGATGTTCGTACGGTGTCGCGACGCATGCTGATTTCTTTTGTGGACACGAGTTCCGGTCTGGCACGCACCGTTGGTGTGAGTGCGTCGCTGGCGGAGCGGAGCTCACGGCGAGTGAAGCAGTTGGACATGTTGTTGCGTCGAGTGCGGGAGGCGCAGGTGGTGGCAAACTCGCTGCAGGAGATACGGCACACGGTGGCAAGCGTGAATGAGACGGTGCATTCCGGTGACTTGGAGCGCATCGTTGAGCTCATCCGTAAGTACGAGGAAGCGAACGTGAACCTCGGTGGCCGCGCTCCCCCTTCACTCCTACAGGATTATGATGATGATGATGATGATGGCATGAAAGAACATGTGAAGGGAAAAGAAGCGGATTACGCCAACGGTGAGGAGGTGGCGCCGAAGCAGCAGCAACAACAACAACAATTGATGATGGGGGAAGATGGCAACAGGGACGCGACGTATCCTTCTCATTCTGCCGCAAACAAATCAAGAGAGAACAAGAACAAGGATGGAGACAATGATGCCAGCCATCCCCGTAATCATCATTTTGAGGCGGCGAGTATCATCGCCTCGGCACGTGAGTCGGCGCGCGAGAAATTGTTAGAGAAATTTCGTGTTGCATCGCGATCAAATGACAAGCTGACAATTATGCAAGCAACGCGTCTTTTGACGCAGCTGGGTTTTCCTGAGGAAGGCTGCTCTCTCTACTGCAAATGGCTGTGTGAGCACACCATTGCCGCACTCAAGAAGATGGTTGACCGAGAACTGCGCAAGATGGACGACCCAACGGAAGCGGGCATGAGTCACCTTGGGCTTGTGTCCACCGTTCTTGACGCGGTTGTGGCCGCCTTTGAGAACGAGGAGGAGTTTATACGGGAGACGTTTGGAGACGCAGGGCTGTTGAAGTTACTGACGGAGTTGCACTGCAAGTCCACCAGTCAGTGTGTGCCGGTGCTGAAGGACTTTTTAAAGAAGCGGCAGGAGGTACTGAGCTCCGTTACATCGGCCGGTGGCATGAATACAAACAGCAGCAGCAGCAGCAGCAGCGGCAATGCGAGGGGTCAATTTCCTGCTGGCTCCGTGGAAGCCGCTGCCGGGTCTCCTGCTTTCCCCACGACTTCTTCTGCGGCCGCGGCCACCGTTGACCCGCGACGCACGGATCAAATATTAGAGGAAATGTCACATCTCGTGTCTTGCTGTCATCTGTACTGGGCGTTTGCTCAATCGAAACAGCAGGAATACATGCATGGCGTGGAGGCTACTGGGAAGCAGCATGAGCAACAGGAAGTGATGGTTTCTGTGGATTCCTTGTGGTCCTCACGTGACAATCCTCTCATGAACACCGTACAGGAGATACTAGGGGTTTTTGTGCCTCTGCAGACACTGTACTTTGAGGCGGCATTTGAACAGGCCCTTCGACTGCAGATGGACGCGTTACATGCAGCCGCTAGAGAGGTGTCGATGTCGGGCACTGAAGGTGGCGGTGATCGTTCTGCGAGGAAACGTACTGGTGTCATTGTCCACAGCGGTACTCATCATCATCATCATCACCAGAGTAGTAAAAAAAACGAGACTTACTCATCTCCCTCTGCAAAGAAGACGGCAAATTTTATGACTGGGCTTGCGGCGTTGTACACATCTACGGCGGCAGCGGCTGGTGGAGAAGACGAGGACATGCCAGATGCCGCCGTGGATCAAGTCTCCATCACACTCCCAGATGATGTATTCTTCTTCCTTCGCATCGCCCTGCATCGCGCGGTGAACACAAAATCCACACAAATTATCTCGGCTGTCTTTATTGCATGCATTGAACTTGTGCAGTCCAAACTGCTCCCTGTATTGCAGCTACAAACTACACTGCCGCCGGCAGCACAGCTGCAACAATTGCAACAGCAGCGACAGGACTTTACGGTGCCGTCCCGCGTGCTGCGCTGGACCGTAGCGGCGCATTGCACCGCCACATACGCCAGAAAGCTTGCGGAAGAACTGCGTCAATTGGCACGCGAAAACTTCTCCGGGAAGGACCTGTTGCGCTTCACAGAGCAGGCGGAAGACATGGACGCGCTCTCGCGTGAACTGACGGCATCTGTGGAGCAGTGGGTCGCCCGGTTTGCGGAAGTATGCTACCAGGCGCACCTCACATCACATCTTGAGCGTTTCTCCACCCTCTCATATAATCTGACGGAGGAGATGTTTTACCATTACGAACTGAGCGATCCGTGGGTGCAGGTCTGCGTTGCCGCGGCAGATGTCGTGTTAAGACCATTGGACGCGTATCTTGACACGCATTGCTTTGATTTGTTTCTCCTCGCGCTTGTGCGACGTGTTGTGAAGACGTTGTGGCAAGCCATTTTGCAGAAGTCGTTCAGCGGGTATGGGGCACTGCAGGTGGACCGCGATGTGCGCACCCTACGCACTTTTTTTCTTGGACGCGCCCATGAACTGCAGCTGCGGGAGCCGTTCCTGCTCCTCACAAGCGCCACGTCACTGCTGCTGCTGGACAGCCCGAAGGACGCGGAGCAGGACGTGTACGAGGGACTCACAGCAGATGACAAGAGGCGTCTGTTGGGTTGTCGTTTGGAGTTCAAACGTGCAGAAATTGAACGATTGCATCTATGAGGAAGTCTTACTTTTTTTTTTTTTGTGTGTGTGTGTGCGTAAGGAAACAAGAAGAAAAAAAAAAAAGGAGCGAAAAGGAAGCATGAAGAAGAAGAGGTAGGGAGAAAAAAAAAGGGGAAAAAAATAAATAGACATCACTGCACCTCTCTTTTTCCTCTTTTTTTTTTTCTTTTTTTTTTTAAATTTTTTTTTTTTTTTCCATACCACCTACATCTCCCCGTATATACATGCATACATACACGGAGAGACACAAAAAAAACGAAGAGACATATCTTTATACATATATACATGTGGTTGCATTCTCGTCATGATGTTCTTCTTCTCTTTTCTTTGATTGTTCATGGGATGCATTCAGTGTATATATATATATATATATACGTATTCTTCCAATCATATGTCTTACCATCGTAGTAACAGTGGCAGTAACCAAAACAGCAATCGAGGTGGTGCTGGTTTGCGGCGGCAACGATCTCCAAGTCCTGATGCACATCCTCAACACGCTTCCTACAATAGCGGCAGCGGCGGTGGTGGCAGTTACGGTCTCTCCCAATCTTATCGTTCCCAACCGCAACAACGTCGTCATTCACCACCACATCGGCCGCCGTTTCGCCGTCGACGGGAGGATATGCCGTACACCATTCCTGACATTGCCCCCAGACTTCATGTGCCGCACGAGTTACCGGTGGATGTAACGGCTTTTTTGGACCTCATTGCTTTTTACGTTGTTCAGGGTGGTCCGACCGCGGAGGAGGAAATTATGAAACGCGAGGAAAATAACAGTCACTTTGCTTTTCTTCATGCACCATGGAATGACCCGATGCAGTTGTACTACCGCTGGCGTCTTTACTCGCTGCTACAGGGTGACACACTCCTTAAATGGCGAACGGAGCCGTACCAAATTGAGCGTGGCAATGAGGCGTATGTGTGGGTGCCGCCGCCGGCAATCCCTAGTGGACCAGAGTGTCTTCTCGATGCATTCCAGACCCACACGTCCGTATATAAAGGCAGTGATAAAAACAAGGACCTCAATTGGAAGGAATCCCCGCAGCCTGTGCCATCTGCATCATGGTTGTCAAGAATGTCTGTGTCGGAAGGAGCCTTCTTTGTGACGCTTGAGAAACCGGCGGCCGCGGAATGGCAGCAGCTACTAAGAATGGAACACCACGTCACGGAGTTGGCGGCCCTTCATGGAATGCCGTTGGAGGAGCGAGTCAAGGCATTGACAGCAATTTTGCTTGACGGCGAACTCATTGCACAACGCATGGTGTTTGCGATTGAACATCAAAAAGCCGCGTTGCATTTGTTAAGTCTTGTGCTTGACGAAGTGGTGCGGTTAGCGTATGATTCAGCCAAGCCCTTGCGTCCTACCGATGGGCATGACGATGAGGCCTCGCGTGGGAACTGCAGCCCCATGAACAGGAGTCAGAGCGGTGATTTAGACAGCAGCCCGTGCGGCGATGAGGCCTTTTATGCCGCGGCGCGTTGTTGCATGTGCCTTTCCTATCTTTTTACGCTAAACGACATTGGCAAGAACGGTGGGGCCGCACCTTTGACAGAGGAAGAGATAGTTGCCATTGCACCATCGTATGAGAAGCGCTGCAGCGGCACCTCAGCTACTTACAACACCACCACTACGACAGGCAACGATAACAACAATAGTAATAGTAACAACAACAGTACTGGCGGTGGCACTGCTTGTTTAACGCTTGCCACAGGCTCTGAGGCACCGCATGCCGCAGCATCGACTGGTATGTCGACACACACATTGCCACTGAACTTACCCCTGCCGGCATCCGCAGCCACAGGGACAATGATGCCGTCTTCTTTTTCCTCCTTGCGTCTACTGAACCGGGCGCTTGAGAAAATTATGCCTACGCTCATTGAAGCCACACTTTTTGTGGCACTTTGCACGGTGCAACAGTATGGCTCACTGTTAGTGGACAACGCCCGCGAAACCTCGCGGAGTTCGGCGAAACCTCCCGGTGCCGAAGAGCTTGAAGGCATTCTTCCACTTGACATCGACCAGGCAGCATACGTGCATGTGCAGGTCAAATTGTCCGCCGCGCGCGCAACGACGTCGGGTACGAATACCTCTACGAGTGGCACTGGAACGGCCACAAACTCCTCCTTATCGATTTCGGCGGCCCCGACAAAATGTACCCCTGCCTCCGCGGTGACTCATTTAAAGAAGGAAGACCGCGATGCTGTCTGCATGATTGCCATGTTACTCATTTCATGGTTGAAGCAGTTGTGCTCCTCATGGGCGGACGCTGATGTCATTGGAAACCGCTGCTGGAGTACGCTCCTGACGAAGTACGTTTACCTTCTTTCTCAGCCCATTGAAACGACATGAATACAGCTATGAGGCCATCACTAAGTGTGTAGAAGGGAACTGGAAAGGAAAAAAAAAAAACAGTTTTATCTGCGAGAGGGAAAGAGGGCGAGAGAAAGTGTGTTTGTGTGTGTGTGTGTGTGTGTGTGTGTGTCTGTCTCCGTGTCTCTGTGTCTGAACGTTGAAAATATCTTGGTGAAGATAAAAAAGGAAGGAATTGGGTTTTACGGGCGTCACTCTGGCATTTATGCATATTTGTGTCAGAGAACTGCAAGAGAAAAACATGCTTA